AATCCCTCCTCTATGAATTTTGGAAGAGGACCTGCACACAAAACAAAACATAAGCATTAGTTCTCTATCAACTTTGAAGAATATGCTGTATCAGTTCCTACAGAAACTACTCAGCTCCCAATTTTGTCATCTAGACAGATTTCACCTCACATCAGTTTATAGTCTTTGTTGTTCACTCTGAGCCTAGAACACATTAATGGTTTAGGAATCTGAACTTGAAAGAAAGAAAGTCAAATATGCTTTCCTCATCAATTTCTCATTTAAGAGATGAAAGTTACCTTTAAAGATAATTAGAGACAGTATAGCTCACAGAGTTCCGAAAGTCCAACTATGTAGCAATATTTAAAAAGTAAAAGATCAAAATGAAATGCTTTTTGATAAAACTACACAAATATCAATATCTGTGCTGTTTGTTGCTGCAGGAGCATTAGGGCATGCACATTAGAATGTGAGTCATAAAATGTGGATTGGTTTAGGTGAGAAACATGTGCAGCAATGTGCTCTAAAGTATTAAGTAGTAGATGATGACTTTTGCTTTGTGAAAGGAATTTTTGCAGAGGTACATAGGAACTTTCACGAACTGGATTGTACTGAATAAGAAACTAGGAAAGACTTGGAAATGGACAAATGGCACTACATTTAATGCTTGGTGAGTTGCAAATATAGTAGGAAAGTTTTTATTCTGGTGTTGTATAAAATAATTAAAACATTTTAAGTTGCATTACTATAATGAAATCTTGCTATTTTCAATGTGTAGTTACCTTTTTCAGTCTCCATCCTATGACACATGCCCTTTTACAACGAAGCATACACGAGAGCAATCCATCTTCCTTTTACCTTGTTAAATGACACACAGTGAAATTTTCCATTTTTATTTTTACTTTTTGTTTTATTTTTATTTTACTTTAACTTTTTTTGTAAAGCTCTTGCTAATAAGTTCTTTTTCAAATTCAAACTCAAGTATTCTGAAAATTTCAAGCCAAAATTCATGTGTTATTTGCACCTCTTTCCAACTAATTAAATTTATACAAGACCTCTTTCTTCGTTGAAGAGTTAAAGACCTTATAGTTGTCTTTACCTTTCCAAATGTCTATCATAAGCAATATTATATATTTATGTAACTATTTCTTGGGTGAATGTTGTTTCCTCATTTATACACCACTTTACCTGAAAACAGGGCTGCAAGACTTTTCCTTTGTATCCGTATATTCCTGACATTTTTTCAGTAAATGCTGGATAAAAACTGGAAACCAATTAGATACATATTAAAATATGCATGACAGGACAAATTATTCTTATTTATAAGAGGGAAATATTTAGTTATCGATAGAGCAAACTGATAAAAACGTTATAAACAGTCTCTTTGGTTTCTATCTCAGTATATTTCAAAATTACCAAATGAATGCAAACCTAATTCCTTACTTTAAAAAAAAAGGCGACTAAAATAATTCCAGGGAACTCCTTTTGCAAAAGATTTCAGAGATTTTTGAATTTTTCAAACACTCTCTCTCTCAATAGATAGATAGATAAATGTGGAAACAAATATAGATGGAAATATAGACAGAGAGAAATATATAGAGAGATAGACCTATCTATGTCTATCTGTATGTCTGTCCACCTATCTACACGTTATTCTAAATAAGGTTACAGATTATAATTTCAACAAGTACCTCCATTGAGTCTTGTTTTCCTTTACTGTACCACATATTTTCGTGTAGCATATGTTGATGGGTAGATATATTTTCTGAGAGCTTAGTGTTTTGTGAAATATGTTTCAAATCTCTCTATTCTTAATTTTCTTTTTGATTACAGCTGTAGATGGCTCCCAGCCTGTTTTTGATTGCTCCTTTTCAGGTTTGAAATGAAAGGAAATGGATCCTTTGCTTTTCTGATCGCTAATGGAGTCCATAGTTCCAGGTGATTTGTTGATATCAAGTGGATTCGCAGCAAACCTAGATATTTATAAAGCAGAAAAAACTTGAAAATGAATATCACTAAGCCCCTGCGATGAACTTATGACACATCTGAATGCATCATAAAATTCAAATTCTCCAAAACATTCAAAAAATTGTACTAAAACTGCCTTTGTTACATTAGCTTGAGTTCAATTTCCTGCCTGGGTAACTGTGATCTGTATGTTCAGGAATGAATGTGAGTTTAGGTGAATAGACAGACACTTAATAGAGAAGCTGGAGAAAGAAAGAGTATCTAAGTTACACTGTAAACACATAGAAACAAACAAGTCCATCTCCCATATCCTCAAATGGAAGCTTACTTCCTTATTTAGTAAATTAATAGCTAACACATATTTCCTAGGTAAGCCCCCACCTTTGAGTATTTTGCCTGCTTCTGCATGTGAAAGTAAACGACTTTCGGTAATCCTGGTAAATATCAGCATGTAAATATGGGCATGTAACATCTGTGCATCATGTTGTCACCAAGAAAATTTGAAAAGTGCTAAATTTTAGATGCCATTGTGTATCTCAGTTGGATGTATTAAACTTTGGCTCCATTTAAGTTCCAGTTTTACCTTATTCAT